TGACGGAAAAGAGTTATTGAGTATGATGAAGATGTTTCTGTTAAACTTAGTATAGTATATAAGTGCTTTGATTTTTTTATTGGGTTTATTGGGGAATATATTATTATCTGTCTATATTTCTAAGATAAGGTATTATGTACACTATTTACATTACTCACCATATTTATTATAACCTTTCGGTCGTTGTACGCTCCGGTCTTCTTCGGGTGGTTGGATTGTCGAACTGAACCCTTTATTTCGCTCACTGGAGTAGACTGTTCTAGTTCCACGTGCCATGTTTTAATGGTTGTCAGTTATCAGTTATCTCCTGTTAATTCCCCTCTCCAAGTTCTCCACTGCCTTAACCGGGTATTGAATTCACACTCTTTGGGTCCTGTCATGGGATCTAACCAACGCCTTTATCCACTGTGCCATGTGTCCTCAAGGATACATGTCACAGTTGAGAACTTAAGAGAATTAACAGGAGATAACTGTCATCTGTTACTACGAAGGCATTATTTACCCAGCATGCGGACAAAAAGAACACCACGACTCGATGTGAACGGAAGAAAGTAAATAAACTTCTCTTTCATCTCGCCTCGAAGCACAGACAATATGGCACCATAGCCCACGGAGACAAAGCCAGCAAAGTTAATACAGTCCGGGGTGTATGTTCATAGGAATTTGACTGAAATTACGGAATTGCGTAAAAAACAATGGAAATGATATTTTAAATGAACCTGTAAAACAATCCACCTTACAGTGCTACTTCGACTTACGTCGTTTCGACTTAAGTCATTTTCGAATATACGTCGGTTTTTCTTAAATATTTTATGGAAAAATAAAACTCGACTTACGTCGTTTTACTCAAGTCGGCCGTTAAAAATATTAGAGACGTCAAAACACTAAAATATAAAATTATATTCAAATAAATTTAAAAATAATATATTATGTATATATATATATATATATATATATATATATATATATATATATATATATATATATATATATAGATAGTAATTATTAGGAGGATTTGATAATTATATTTAATTAATTCAGAACTTAAAACGATTATTTGGTTACTTATTTTAGTGCATCATTTCACTTATAATTATTACCACGTGAGGCAAACTATAGCCAGTGCAGTATTTAAACAGATTAGCTATAAATAATCAACAGTTCATTTTTGTTGCTATCTTGTCACTTATATTATTGCCAACTAAGAATGTTTTTTCACATTTGCATAAGTAATGAAATAATCGTTCTAAGTAACCCCTCTTTATTTTATTATCAACTAAGTTTTTTTTTTACATTTATATAACTAGCGAAATAATTGTTTTAAGTAACGCGTTAAACAAAATATGTGCTGCGTAAGTTGTTTATTTTTTTTTTACTTCTCTGTGTTGCAAGCATATTCATAATAAAAGCATCCATTCTTCTAGATAATTTTTAAGCTATCGATCCTAATTTGCGTGATTGTGCTTTTAAAATTCGATTTTTTACTCTTTATTTCTCCCCCCCCCCAACATTTCTATGTCAAGGTGTTATTTATAGTTTGTCTTTCTGTATTTAAAATGAATTCATACATTTTTATTCGCAAAGATTGCGTAATATTTCAGAATACAATGGCTGGTTAAAAATTAAGGTTCTTCAATTCTTCTTCTATGTGCTATGCATCCTTCTGGGTGTAGTCGATCACGGCTCGCCACGATTTCCATATCCTTTGTAGCTTTTAGTAAGGTGTGGTTTTTCAACATGCCTCCTTGTCCCTCGTCTGACATTCGTTACCCTCTGCTTGCCTCTGCATTTCCTGCTTTTACTGTGCCCAGTGAGTGTCAGATTCTCCAAACCCTCTTTTCTCATTATATTTTCGGGGTGCATGAAAAATATTGCGTGATTGCATCAGATTTTGATCACGCCCAGGCACTATTGTCTTGACTGTCGATTAGGTGTCCTATGGCCATTATTTGCGATGGACGTTACTCCAAGAAAGCGTACGAAATTTGAAACGCTGCACGAATACACTGTCAAGCCTTACCAGTGAGCAAATCAAAGTACCTGAAACTCTCCTGATTTAAATCCAATCGACAATCTGTGGTCAATCTACAAGGGACGACTTCGTAGAATGGACATACGAAGTACTGACATATGCACTGGGTCATGTTTTATTGGAAAAATATGAAAAAGGATTAAATAATAACGGAAGTATTCGTTTTGTTTCAATTAATTTGCACAAGGGTGTATAATGTAAATTCATTATTAATGATTTACTACAGGAATGCAACTAAAATCAGAAAGAAAGGGATTGTCAGTGGTCAGGAATTAATGCAAATATTTTGGAGAGATGGGGGCTATTATATTTTTTTTTTAAGCATTTCACCCCAAGCAAGGCGGGAAGCCACTAGGACGCAAGGGGCTACATAAAATTTATAGCAAGATCAGATAGGAGTGATAGAAGAAAGGATGAGGGTAGTGGATAGATCAAGGCAACTGGAGATGTCGATTGACATTACACTTGAATAGCTGGAGATTATAGCTCACAAGGAAACAGGAGAAGGGAAGGGAGTTCCACAGGCGAGAGGTGCGAGACATGAAGCTATTAGAGTAGAAAAGAGACAGCTACATTTAGGAGTTTCGACAATGAAGGGGGAGAGCGGGATGCCAGCCTCGTAAGGCGCTGGAACTCATGACGTCTGGGAACCAGCGAATGCAGCTCCTCGGAGCAATTTCCATGAAAGTATTTGTAGAACAGAGGGAGGCGACGGCGCGTCTGTGAGAAAGTGACTGTAGACGAGACGCATTGCAGGGCCAGCCATATCCGCCTCTGGAGCCTATCAAGAACCCCGAGGCAAACAGAAGGGGCACCAGACCATATATGGCAGCAATACTCCATGCAAGGGCGAATTGTGGATTTGTATATCTGGAGGATCGACTCCGGGGAGAAAAACTTCCTAGCGCGGCTCAGGGATGTAAAATGTAAATTAATTACAAATGATTTACTATAGGAAATCATTGAAAATCAAGAAGAGAGGGATTGTCAGTGGTCAGGAATGAATGAAAACATTAATGATAGAATAGGGCTATTATATGTATAATGTATTGCTAATGATTTTATTATAGGAATGCATTGAAAATCAGGAAGAGAGGGATTGTCAATGGTCACGAATTAATGCAAGTAGTACTGATAAAATGATTTTATCACATTTATAAATATAAGTATA